ATTTTCTTAGTTGAGGTAATTGAGCTAAATGAAGTGCATTACTCACTAAGAACATGCTACCAGCAGGAGTTCTCTTTATTAACCTGGCTACGTACCACATAGCAAATTGCGTCTTAATCTTTGCCTTTTTTTTTTTTTCTATTAACCACATTAGAGAGGAAAAAATCTTTATGCACCTGAGAAAGACTGGTATAGCCTACTAGGTAATATGATGTGGCTATGAAAAAGGGAAACTATGAGCACTAAATTCAGTCTTCCTAAAACACCTGCCCTTGTATAGCAGCTTGCAACACTGGAGCTCCCTCTTTTCAGAAGCGTTGAAAGCTGGGTTTATGCATTTGCAAAATCAGAGCCAGAAGAGTATGATTACTCTGTGAGAATGTTAAATATATTTTATATAATTTAAAAAAAATTATTAACATTTCTTCAGTGTATTTTATATGAAAATATTTTGTACATAATACCTAGATTCTGAAGGTGATGTATCAAATATAATTTTTTGTTCTTCTTCAAACACAACCCAGAATATGTAAGATCTTGAGGTGAAATCTAAAAGCATTAGAAGTCCTGGCTATCCACTGTATTTTTTTGTTCACTCTTGGATACGTGGTCTGTGAATATGGATTGCATTTTACACAGCATTTTGCAGAGTAGAGTTCATGATCCTTGACTGAGGTTTCAGAGTACTGCTTTTCTATAAATAGCACATTGTAATCATCTTGGTAATCTGGGAAGATGAAGCATTCTTACAACTTTATCCAGGCTTAAGGTTTTTTAAAAGACAGAGGAGAGAAGAGGTCATAGAGTTTCTTTTTAACCCTCCATTTTCTCTGACCTATGCTCTCAGATGCTTTGTTTATCATTCTTCCACACTCTACTTTTTCTAGGACTTGCTGCAATTTCTTTGTCTCATCCCTTGATGTGAGGCATCCACCACTACTTGTTCCTCAGGCATCTGTCTCCCCTCTGCGCTTACATGCCAGAATACTTTTTGCAGTCCTACTCTTCATCAGCTGCCACATGCCACAGGTTCTGTGTTGGTCCCCAGCCTTCAGTGTAGGGTCATACATATGCCTCTCCTATGTTACCTGTGCCATAATCTGAACCAGTCGGTTTATTTTATTTTTTTTTCCCCTAAATTTTGGGTTCCAAACAGTACCCTCAAAAAGTATGTTGCCATTTTCACTTGTGTAGACATGGCTATGTTCTTCTCTTTTCAGAGCAAGGTGGCCTGGAGACCTTTGCTTTCAGTGGCAGCTGTGGAGCTTGGCCCACAGCTCCCGCTCCTGCTGAGCAGCAGGGGGGGTGGTGCCTGACCTGGCCATGGGCCCTATTGTTCCTGACCCACACCTGCAGACCAAGACCCTGCCAGGCCTGAGCCCAGCCCTGCCCGGCTCTTTCAGGGCTGTGCCTGCTCCCAGCTCCCTTCCCTGTGCACTGACTGCCTGGCTGCCTCCCAGCCTGGCCCCAGACCAGCGCAGCCTTAGCCCTCCCTCACAGGGATTATTATTGCTCAGCAATTAGCCATTAATGGGAAATACCTATCATTTTGTTACACTACCTTTAAAGATGGAAGGGAGAAACTATATATTGGCAGACAAGGCCGACTTGTGTGCAATCCTGTCTAAGCCATTAGGAAACAGACATTAAAAGTTTCAGTCAGTCCACCAAAATTCAGCACCTTGGCACACCAGTGACTTTTGCGTGTCTCCTCCTTCAGATGTAGTGGTCAAGAGGCTGAGACCAGTGCTATGTCTTTCTGCTGTTTATTACAGTTCACTTATTACTTTTTGTGGCCCTCCCTTTGGATCTGCTCTAACATGTCCATGACTTTATTGTACTGGGAACTCCCCAGCTGTATGCAGTACTCTGACCGGAGTCTCATGAGAATGGAATCATGAGAGCACAATCATGTCCCTTGACCTACTGGGCTGCAAGCAGACATTGCTACCTCACACCTTATTTTTCATCCACTGACATCTCCAAGTTCTTCTTTGCAGGACTGTTCTCAATCCGTTCATCCCCCAGCCTGTACTGACACTGGTGATTGCCCTGACCAAGGTGCAGGGCCTTGCACTTGGCCTTGTTGAATCTCCTGAGGTTCATATGGGACCACTTTTCAAGACCACCAAGGTCTCTCTGGATAGTGAATGGACTATCCAGCGAATGGACTATCTAACTCAGCTTGGTGTGATCTACAGACTCGCTGAGCGTGCACTCAATCACACTGTCTATGTCATTATTAAAGACACTAAAGAGTATTGCTCCAGATACAGACTCCTGGAGTACCCCACTTGTTACTAATCTCCATTTTGACATTATCCAAATGGAGATTTAGCAGTGACAGGGAAAACTCCTGGACAATGGAACTTTCAGTTCACTATCTTGTTGAGTTTTATGAACCATTTTTGATATTGTTTTGCCTACTCAAACTAGAGCTTTTCAAAATAATTCCCAGGTATGGGAATACCCAGAAGTTAACACTGAACAAAGATAATTCACAACAGACACTTTTTCAGGAGGCATTGTGTATTGTTCTAGTTGGCTTTAGTGCTAGTAAGTGATTTCAGCATGTTTCATTTACTGCTGTTTTTTCAGGCATTTTGGCGCCCAACGTGGGGTACGAAGGGTTGAGATAACGAGAGATTCTGAACAAAACGTGTTAAAAAAATCTTGTTATACAAATTTTATTTTCTTTTGATATTAGTTAGATGGTGCCTATACACAATGTTAACTGATGTGCTTCCTTGGTGGTCCTGCGTTAATCCCTATATCCTGTCTGTGTCCCTGGGATGGTGTTTGCCATCTCTGGTAAGTGGGTCAGGCATCTCATCCTGTGCTACTGGGTGATAGCAAATTATGATGTGATTGTGTCACTGGCTATGAAGTTAAATGTGTATGTGTATGCGGCTTTGCTGTTTTTCAGTGAACTATCCAGCCCTGGGACAGATCTCTGGGTGATGTTCTTAGAGATTAATTGTGTAACTCTAAACAAAACTTGACAAACATTCAAAACACAGCACCGAGAGTATGCTGATCACAGTATGTTCTTGCAGCAATAAAGGCTATCTACATGCTATGCTTTAGAAAAAGCATAGCCAGATGATTGAGGGGAAGGAGTTATTTCCTTCTGTATGACATTTATGAACTTGCATCTGTATCCAGCTGTAGTCTCCCTTGTACATTAAAGGCACTAACCACATGATGCAATGCTAACAGAGGTCTGTTAAGACAACTGGAGATTAGAGAACAGGATATATGGTGAAATGCTCAGCAAACCAGGTTTGTTTAGACTGGAGATGATGACAAGATTGAATAGTGGAACACAGAAGTTACTTCAATGAGTGGTTATAGAATATGGATCCAGACTGTACTTAGAGGTACACAGCAAAAGGATGAGAGGCAAAAGAAGCAAGTTAGAGCAAAGGAAATTCACTTATATGTAAGGTAATAATTTTTTGTAATAAGGATGGCCAAACAGTAGATCAGATTTCCCAGAGCTCAGCAAGTTTGCCCATGACACCAAGCTGAGTGGTGTGGTTGACACACCTGAGAGATGACATATCATCCAGAGGGACCTGGACAAGTTCAGTGAGTGAGTCCATGTGAACCTCATGACATACAACAAGGCCAAGTGCAAGGTCCTGTACATGCATCAGGTCAACCCTCTGTATTAATAAAGGCTGGGGGATAATGGGATTGAGAGCAGTCATGAGGAGAAGGTCTTTGGGCTATGAGTAGATGAAAAGCTAAACATGAGCTGGCAATGTGCACTCACAGCTCAGAAAACCAACCATATCCTGGACTGTATCAGAAGAAATGTGGCAAGCAGGTCCAGGGAGGTGATTCTGCCCCTCTACTATGTCTACCTCTGGTGTCTCCAGAACAGAAAAGCCATGGACCTATTAGAGCAGATCCAGAAGGGGGTCACAAAAATTATCAGAGTGCTGGAACATGTCTCCTATGAGGAAGAGCTGAGAGATTTGGGGTTATTTAGCCTTCAGAAGAGAAGGCTGAAGGAAGACCTTATTACAGCTTTTCAATACTTAAATGGGTCTTATAGGAAAGATGGGGACAGACTTTTTAGTAGGGGCTGTTGCAATAGGACAAGGAGTAATAATTTTGAATTAAAAGAGAGTAAATTCAGTCTAGAGATAAGGAAGAAATTGTTTATGATGAGGGGGGTGAAACACCAGAACACATTGCTTGGGGAGGTGGTACATGCCCTGTCCCTGGAAACATTCAAGTTTAGGTTGGACAGGGCTCTGCAACCTGATCAAGATGAAGATGTCCCTGCTCACTGCAGGGAGGTTGGACTAGATGACTTTTAAAGGTCCCTTCCAACCCAAACTATTCTATGATTCTATGAATCTATGCTTCTGTAATGAATGTAGACTATTCTATAATTGTTTTCTAGACTTCATATTTATTTCTATTTTAGAAAAACAGTCACAGAAGCTTTTTCCAAAGGTTGAATGACCCCACAATTTCTCCTGAAGGAACATTGTTGTTTAATTTATTTGTTTCCTCTCTGGAAGAGACAGTCTTAATCCTCTTGTTGTGAAGACTAATGCTGACTTAATGGCATAACACAGAAAAAAAAAAAAAAAAACAAAACCCAACAAACTTCAGGATAAAAAGCTTTTAAGTCAGAATGATATGACAAACATTCTAGCTATTCAGGGCAGCATTCTAGGACTTAATCCTTTGCTAAGGAAGAATAATAATAACAGCAGTATCACTGTTAGAATTAGTATATAAGTGTTGGTGAGCAAATCCTTTTCCTCATTCCTCCAGTTTAGAATGACGTACACAACAAACTGTCAAAAGCACATGCTAAATGAATACCTCATATGTATGGTTGCCTTAGAACTGAAATAAACTACTTCACATCCTTACAGGACAGCAAGGGCTTTTAAAGATCTGAATTTAGCACACAGAAATGTTAGATCAGGATGTCAGGGGAAAAAAACTTAAATTTTTAAATTTAGTTTACTCACTTAGTATCTTCTTTCCCATTGTTAGGCTGATGCTGTTCCTGTTGAGCTGTCTTAGCTGGTTCAGCTGATTTTTCAGTTTCTGGAGGCTCAGATGCTTTTGGCAGTTCTGTATCTAGAAAAAGGTTTTAATCTTTTAATACCATTTTTATAATAATTATGAAAATACTTTTGGACTAATCACAGCTTGGCTGTCATTATTTCTTTAGTGAACAAGAACTGCATGACACTCATGCTGGAACCTGACTTTTGAATAATTTCCTGCATAAATCTATTTCAGTGTCAGCCATACAGAACATGTTTATGATAAGTATACCTTTTAGAACATGTAACCTTTTTATGGTTTTTAAAATAAATGCATCTGTAGCCAGCTCAAAAATGTTCAGTACAGAGCTGTTCTATACATAAGCAACAAGAATTCATTTAGTAAGATAGAATTTTGGCATGTGCTTATTTAAAGAAAATATGTAGAAGACAGATATGTCTGTCCAGAAAAGCTTTGTGAAATACAGGAAGAAAAATAAAGATTAGCCCATTTGCTTGTGCATGGAAATGTTAATGACATTATTTATACTTCAGTTCTTGAATTGCATCAGACTTCTTGTTGCTTTAGCTGCCATGACTGTTTGTTGCCTAGTACATTATCACTGAAATATGTCATTAAATACGTGAATATGTAGAACTTTGGCTAGTCTATTTCTTCATGTGACCTACTACACCACTTAGAAACACACAAGTCTATGGGGCTGGATGGGATCCACCCAAGAGTACTGACAGAGCTGGTGGAAGTGTTCACAAAGCCACTTTCCCTTCATTTATCAGCAGTGCTGGCTAACCAGGGAGGTTCCAGTTGACTGAGGTTTGGCAAATGTGGCACCTGTTTACAACAAGAGCTATAAAGAGGATCTGGGGAACTACAGGCCTTCAGTCTGACCTCGGTGCCAGGGAAGGTCATGGAGTAAATCATCTTGAGTGCCATCATGAGACAAATACAGAATCAGCAGGTGCTTTGGCCTATGGTCATCATGGGCAGGTCCTGCTTGACAAACCTGAAATCCTTCTATGACAAGGTGACTTGCTTAGCGGGTGAGGAAAAGGCTGTGGATGTTGGCCACCTAAACTTCAATAAAGCTTTTGACACAGTTTCTCAGAGCATCCTCCTGCAGAAACTGGCTGCTCATGTCTTGGATGGGTGTACTCTTTGCTGGATACAAGATTGGCTGGATGGCAGGGCCATCATTGGTGGTGAATGAATATAAATCCAGTTGGCAGCTCATAACATGCGGTGTTCCCCAGGGCTCAGTACTGAGGCCTATTCTGTTTAATTTCTTTAACAATGGTCTGGATGAGGGGATCAAGAAAAAGTGAAAAAGACCTCAGAAAAGTGGTTGAGTGACCATCCCTGATGGTATCTAAAAGACATGTAGATGTGGTGCTTAGGGACATGTTTTAGCTGTGACCTGGAAGTTCTGGGTTAGCAGTTGGACTTGATGATCTTGAAGGTCTCTTCTAGCCAGAATGATTCCATGATTCTTTTTTGTTACAAGTAATGTTGTTAAAGGAGTTAAAGTGGGAACTTTGTAGAGTTTGAAACAAACTATGTAAATGGTGTAGTCTCTTGCCACTGAAGGGACCTTATGTGATTAATTATTACAATTAGTCCTATATCTTTATTTTAAAATTTCTTGCTGAAAAACAATTTGAAAGCTTTCATCAGTCTGACACTTTGCATAAAGGAGGAACAAACTCAACCTTCATAAATACTTTAAGTAATATGATTATAGTGGAAAAAGCTAGGCAGCAAAACATCATAGCAAACAAATCAGAAGCCTGTTGCATATACTGCATTTTAAATTCAAGACATCTCAAAGAAAATAAAACCTTGAGTGTTTTGGATAGATAATGTCAGATTAGTTTTCTGAAAGTTAATCTCCATATTTAGGACTGTTATTCATTTCAGAGGAGGTAAAAGCATTTCCAACACTGAACTGTTAAGCTGCTCACCTGGAAGGTGGTTGCTTGAAATGGCATTGAAACTTAGTGAAGGACAGTGGGTCAGTTTGTTTACAGCACTCTGTCTACCAAACTACTCTCCTACCACCATTTATTCTGATTTGGGATAATGTTTTCCTCCAGACATCTGTTAAGAACAGCCACAATGCTTCTTGAGCTGAATTTCAGATTTCTACTGGATGGACAACTGATAACTGTAACAATGGGGCATTTCTAGTATTTTTTCTTAGTATTTAGGTTAAGAAGCAAGTATACACAGTATGAGTCCTGCTCTCTTAGAGGAGTTAATTTCTTAAACAGGATCAAAGACAAGACTCAGTCAGAGGTAATGGTGGATGCCAGAAATACTCAAGCCAGAGTCAAGCAAGGAACTGAAGAGAAGGCAAAGCAATCCATGCTCCCCAACGTTCTGGTCAATTGGGTTTTAACTTAGCAAGTTATGGGTTAATTTTCAAATAATCTCTTGAATAAATGTAGCTGTGTTGAGTATGACGAGACAGTCTGCAGGATTTGTGTTACTTAATACCTATAAGCTGGGAAGATTTTTGTGAGGTATTCCATTTAAAACCTCTGATGTTTGCTTGGATTTATGGCAAAAATTGATTAAACGTGTCTGGTCTGCTTAATGGTAATGCAGATTATTGCCTCCTTTCTGCGGCAGTTAATGTTGCAGTACTATCTTGAGGAAAAGTCTGTTGAAAATGTAATGCTAGGGAATACTTCATCTTACCTGAAGGATCTGCCAGGGAATTTTCAAGGTACAGAATAGCACACTATAGGGAAGTGAGGACTCCGATGAGGACTGTTTCTGTTCCTGTCCCCAGGAAGTTTCAAGAAAGGATGAACAAGTTTCTTACCATTTGATTACAGAGGTTCAAAATGCCTTTCTGAGAGTTCCGGTGAAAAAGACATTTCTAAGCAAGGAGTAATATTAAAATGTGTTCAGGCTCCTAGCACAGTGAATACACTCTCATAGTGAAATGAAATTCATTTCTCCTAGGAGCTTCATAGACATCCTCTGCTAGAAAACTGCAGAGGAGCTGAAGTTAAAGAAAATGAAGGTGGTTTGGACCTATTTGTAACTGACTAATTTGTGGATCTTGTTACTGAACCTTAACCTATTAGATTTATGTTTCCCTCTTTCCCCAGAGGATCTCTACAAATGAAGCTACTGACTTTGTGCCTTCCTTGGTACACACGCCTCCTGTGGTTTTGTGGTCAACTTGACATAATGTAGAAAAGAAGCTGCAAGAGCCAAAAATTCAGCACTTGCTGCAGTTTCTGCTCCCTTCCAAATTCATAGTTTGTAGTTTCCCAGTTCTTCCTGCCTTGACTCTCCCAGCCAAGAAGCCATGACAGCAAGGCTGATCTCAACACTTCTGTAACTATCCTACTTCAGGACTTTTCTTTGTTATAGCAGTTGTCCCTGGTTACATCCGTACTAGCAGGGAATACAGACTAATAGGAATAATCAGAACAGTGAAATGATGCTGAAGGCCTGACAGCCAAGCTATCTTTTTGAGGTAGCTGTATTTCAAACCAGGTCTGTTGTGACTCTCTGAAATGAATGTCCATCAGCAGTTCAAGAAGTTTGAGTCATGAATTGCTGCTTCTTGTTTAGTTTTATTCTCAAGGAATCCAGCCATGAATTCCTAGAGGGTTTTTGGTGAAAAAACAGAGCGCAGTGGACAATGAGATTATTTGTTTCAGAAGGGCATTCTTCATCTGAAATAAAATTCCAGTGTAGACAACTCTTTAGAGTAACAAGCTCCTGAAAAAGACAATTAATCTCTGGAATAACAATAAGTGTATAAGAAGGCAAAACCACAAAGAAAAAAAACATTGTGCTTGCACAGAAACATCCTATCAAAGAGTAATGGCTTCTTGGCCTGTTAGATGCTTTCAAGGTATTCAATCTGAGGTCTGAACCCACACCAATCATTAAATGCTGACTGGACTCAAACTGATGGAAAATATTGTAATCCCATGAGTCTTACAAACTTGCACATGTTTTTAGAGTTCATAAATCTGCGTGACCAGCACAGGGATTACTTGCATTAGGATTAGGATATCACGGCCTAACACCACTGCCAGCTGTGTATCAAGTTTTAGTTGTTTCTTTCAGTGTGAAATTGTGAGGGCTGTTTATGTAGTCACATTTAAAAATCCCTAGTTTCTCTTCACTGCTTAAATCCAGTTCATATACCTGTGACTTATGAGACCAGCCTCAAAGGAATGCCTTTAAGAACAATGTGGTAGTGGTTTTAGGGAACATTTAGAATACAGCCATTGATTTCTAGAATAAATAATGATGCGTCACATAGCTGGCAAGGCTTACAGGACAACAAAGAAATCATCTATTGGCTTTACATAATTTTGGTTGTAGTAAAGAAATCATGAGCAAGAAAACAGTGGCAGAATTATGCCAAGTCACCAATGTCTAAATCAATTCTCAAAACAGGTAGTTTCATGCTTACTTGACAAAATAAGGGATTTTTTAAAGTGATTTCCATTCCTATTATATTCGAATATAAATGGGTAAAGCTGCCAATGTATTAGTAGTGGGAGCTGAGGAATGCAGCAGACTGGTGTCTATGTATTCTAGATCATTTGGCCTCCTCATAAGAACAGCAACTTTTGAAATTGAGTTAGGATAAATGTTGCCGGTTCTGTTTTAAGATGGAAGTGAAAAGCACCAGTTGTGGAAGTATAACTTTGTGGGCAAAACACTGCTGAATGTAATCCCTCAAAAAGGTGGCTGGTTAAATTGAGAGGCCTACTGAAACCTCATCACACCAGTGATTTGCCAAGGATAGCAAGGAACAAGATGCAGGTTACAAGACCAATTAATTTATGTCTCTTAAGTCACAGATTTTTCTCATTTTCCATAAGTTTTTGTTCTTCCAGGAGAGATGTAGGCTAGTCAAAATAGTAGTTTAAAAAGGCTACTGATGGGACATCAGTCTTTTACCTGTGTTACCTTAGTCAGTTTGATGATGTTCCCAGCCAAAAGTTAGGATTATTAGAGCTTCCTTGTTTCTTCTTGCACCCTATTTTCATAATTCCAGTAAAACAACATTGGAACAATGTTGCAGGATTAGG